TCTGCCCATTTTGTAAAGCATGATACAGAGCTATGCATCCATTCACTCATTCATTCATCTATTTATTCATTCTATTTATTCATTTATCTGCTTCCAGGAAGGGTCCTGGTAATTCGCTAGCCTCGTACCCTGATGTGTGTATGATTGCCTTTCCCGTTGTAGGTGTAAGAGAGAACAAGAATATCTACTTTTCAGGGCTGTTGTCAGTACTAAAGACAATATATGTAGAGTATCTACAAAGGCAATACATGGGAGCTATTATTAATATAGAACAATATTACAACTTAAAATATATTTATGACTTAGTGATAATTCAATCATACTTGAATATAATGTTGAGTACTATAATATTGATATATTATATGCTAAATGAGAACATGGTGGAGGAAGGGGCCATCCTGGCCAACTAGATCAGAAGAATAAATCCCGGAGATCAGTATGGTGACCAGGTGGTCCTTATATTCACATCAGAAAATACAAAAGAAAGAGACCTGGTAGCAGCTGATCTTCTACTCAAAGCTCAGAGGGAGAGAGGCCCCTGCTGGGTAGGCTGTGGCTGCAGCTTCTGTTTAGTGGACCCCATGGGGACTTCCAGCTCTGTTTCTTTGGCTGTGTGTGTCTTTGCCTAAAGTGAACTCTGTTTCTTCTCCTTTTTCTTCTCTTCCTGGTCATCCTTCTCCTTTTTAAAAATATATTTTCTTTTTCTGACAGCCAAAGTGATACCTGCTTGAGGTAGGAAATTTGGAAAATATAAAGGAAAATACACAAGGAAAGCTATCAAGATCACCTGTAATCCCCACTCCTACTCAACAGAAGTAGTTACTGTTTGACATCTGCATTCTTGTATTTTTTTCTAAGCATTTCCCTCCAAATTGTATCATACTATACATAGTTTTTAAAAGTTTATTGTTTTGGATATAGTGAAAATTTCCTAGTGCTATTAAAGATTGTTCTGTTGAATACCATGTGATTATGAAATGCTCATAGTATTCCACTGTGAGAATGCACCATAAATAGTTAACCATTCCTATCAGGTCAGTGTTCATTGTATCCGATAGATAAATTTTTAATCCTTCACCCTCCTCCCACTCTCCCATCTTTTAGTTTCCAATGTCCTTTATGTGTTTTTGTGCATGTGTTTACCCATTGTTTAGCTCCCACTTATTTGTGAGAACATGTGGTGTTTATTTTTCCATTCCTGAGGTACTTCACTTAGGGTAATGGTCTCCAGTTCCATCTAAGTTGCTGTGAATGACATTATTTCATTCCTTTTTATGGCTGAATAGTACTCATGGTATATACATACGTCACATTTTCTTTATCCACTCATGAACTGATGGGCACTCAGGTTGATTCCATATCTTTGCAATTGTGAATTGTGCTGCGATAAACATTTGAGTGCAGACGTCTTTTTGATAAAATGACTTCATTTCCTTTGGGTAGATACCCAGCAGTGGGATTGCTGGGTCAAATGCTAGGTTTATTTTTAGCTCTTTGAAGAATCTCCGTATTGTTTTCCATAGAGGTTATACTAGTTTGCAGTTGCACCAAGAGTGTATAGCATGCCTTTTTCTCTGCATCCACACCAGCATGTTGTTTTTTGACTTTTTAATAATGGCCAATCCATCAGGCACGGTGGCTCACACCTATAGCACTTTGGGAGGCAGAGGTGGGAGGATGGCTTGAGGCCAGGAGTTAGAGACTAGCTTGAGCAAAAGCGTGACCCTGTGTCTACAAAAAATTAGAAAAATTGCCAGGTGTAGTGGCACATACCTATAGTCCCACTGCTCAGGAGGCTAAGGCAGGAGCCCTGGAGTTTGAGGTTGCGATGAGCTGTGAGGATGCCACTGTACTCTAGCCTGGGTGACAGAGCGAGACTCTGTCTCTAAATAAATAAATAAATAAATGCCATTTTGACAGGGCTAAGGTGGTATCTCATTGTGGTTTTAATTTGCATTTCCCTGATGATTAGTGATATTAAACATTTTTTCATGTTTGTTGACTATTTGTCTATCTTCTTTTGAAAAAAATTCCGTTCATGTCTTTTGTCCACTTTTTGATGGGGTTGTTTGTTTTTTTCCTTGCTGTTTTGTTTGAGTTCTTTGTAGATTCTGGAAATGAGTCCTTCGTCAGACATACAGTTTACGAATATTTTCTCCCATTCTGTAGGTTTCCTATTTACTCTGTTGATTATTTCCTTTGCTGCGCAGAAGATTTTTAATTTAATAAAGTCCCATTTATTTATTTTTGTTGCTGCTGTATTTGCTGTTGGGGTTTTAGTCATAAATTCTTTGCCTCGGCCTATGTCTAGAAACGTTTTTCCTACGTTTTCTTCTAGAACTTTTACAGTTTCATGCCTTACATTTAAATCTTTAATCCATCTTGAATTAATTTTTGTATATGGTGAGAGATATGGATCCTGTTTCATTCTTCTGAATGTGGCTATCTAATATTCCCAGCACCCTTTATTGAATAGGTGTATGTTTTCGTCTGCTTTGTTGAAGATCAGCTGGTCATGGCTATATGGTTTTATTTCTGTGAACATTCTAGTTCTGATGTCATCCTCTCCTAGGTTAGTCTGCTGCTATAGCTGCTTTCCATTAATCAGTAGCTTGCTGATGTGCTTCAGGGAAATTCCCCGCCTCAAGCCACCTCAATTGCCCTCATTGCACAGAGTGACAATATGATAGCAGGACTTCATTTGCTTTTTATTTCCAGTATCTGGTGCAAATCATTTTACATGTATTTTCTTTGATCTTCACTATAACCCTATCTACAGGGTAGATACTGTTATTAACTTCATTTCATGTGTTACAGAGAGAAAGTTTGGAAAAGTAAACTACCCTAAGCCCATCAGCTAGAAAATGGCTGAGCCAGGCCTTGAACCCAGGCTGACTCTAAAGCTTGCCCTCTTAACACTTCATAAATTGCCCAAATCTAGGAATGTGGGACCATAGAGCTCTCCTCGTATTTGATTTTGGGCAGCCCTGGTTCAGCTTGGAGCTCTGTGTCACTCTGGGCATGTCTACACAGGGTGTGCTATAAAAATCACTAGAAAGTTGAAGGGGTTGGGGATTGGGGATAACTCCAAGGGATCCTGGGCCCTGCCTACATGCATTTTCAACCATAATTGATAAAGTAGAGAGCTTGTGTCATTTATTAACTTTTCTTATCCAGTTTCTGAGTAGCAGGTAACCTGTGGGAAAGTGGGTAGGATAGAGGCAAGATGTCCTAATGTAATCCTAACCTCACAATGACCCAGTGTTACACTGCCATTTGCAGCACTGCGGGATTATGATTAAAAAACAAAAACAGAAACAACCCTAAACCAGTGTGCTTTTTGTCACGAGAATTGGGTGTTCAAAACAAGAATGTGTTCAATGGCTGGGTGTGGTGGCTCAAGCCTGTAATCCCAGCATTTTGGTAACCTGGGGTGAAAGGATCACTGGAGGCCAGGAGTTCAAGACCAGCCTGGCAGACAGTGAGACCCTTTTCTACAAAAAATAAAAATAATTAGCCGTGTGCGGTAGTGTACGCCTGTGATCCCTGCTACTCTGGAGGCTGGGTGGAGGCAGGTGGACAGATCTCTTGAGCCCAGGAGTTCCAGCCTGGGTGACAGAGAAAAACCATATCTCTATTTAAAAAAAGAAAGAAAGAAAGAAAGAAGAAAGAAAGAAAGAAAGAAAGAAAGAGAGAAAGGAAGGAAGGAAGGAAGGAAGGAAGGAAGGAAGAAAGAAAGAAAAGAAAGAAAGAAAGAAAGAAAGAAAGAAAGAAAGAAAGAAAGAAAGAAAAGAAAAGAAAAATAATGTTCAATGCTTAAGTTCATCTTCAGTTTCCCAACCTCCCTTCGACACCTCCTCCATGTCCCATCTTTGTCCTATTCCATGACCTTCAGGGACTGGACCTGCTGACTTCTACAAAAGTCTCCTATTTGGAAAGGATTTGAAACCTTGGAGAAAATTTAAGAGACAGTTATCTCTTTCTAGAATGTTTCCATTTTAAACTTTATCCTCATTTGTAACATGAAAGATTGTTTCTTGCTAAAGGAATTTCAGGCAGTAGCAAGGAAGTGTGGAAAGAGTTTTGCAGTAGGACATCCCTTAGGGTCTCCCTGTGGTTAATGCACACTTCCCAGGAATAACTGTTAACAACTGCACATTTATTGAGCACTTGTTCTGCCAGGCATTTGTGGCCAGTGCTTTATACATGCATTACTTCCTTGAACTCTCACACTCACCTGTTAAGATTCCCCCTTTATAGATTAAGAAGGTGAGGCCTAGAGATGGTATGCAACTTTCCTAGGGACACGGAGCTAGTAAATGGGCAGAGCTAAGACTTGAACAAGGTCTTTCTAACTCCAGACCCTGAGTTTGCAGGATTAGTGCCTTTGGGATGAAAGGGAGGGATCTTATTGCTTTGGTTCTTGGTTTGTTATTTGTCCAGCCAAACTTGAAAGGCTGTCAGGGCAGAGCTCCAGGCTACAACATGAGTGAAGATTGGCTTGAAACAGGCACTTCCCAAGCCTGTTCTTGGACACCAAATACAAAAAGGGGCCATTACTCTGGTGTTTACTTAGTTCCGGGTATAAGTTCTCGTTCTTCTAGACTTTTCGTTATGCCATCTAAATCACACTCAGTGTCTCATCCTGGGATCCTCATTCATCTCATCCCCACCACAATCCTCACTCACCGCATTTGTGGACTTAACCAGGATGCCAGCCTCTGTGTGAGCACTTACCTCCTTCAACCCTCATGATAATCCTGCAAGGAGGCACGGTTATTATACCCGTTTTAAAGATAAAGAAACAGAGTCTCAGAGAAGTTCAGTCACAGTGCCACAGGAGGTAAGTAGCCAGCTTGGCTAGGAACCCCGGTCTGTGTGATTCCAGAGCAGGAGCAATGCAGCCTCCATCTCAGCCCTGGCTCCTGGGTCACACCCTCCCTCACACCACGCTCATCAGCCCTCTTCTGGTGTCTCCCTCTGTCGTCCTCCTAGTTGGGATGGAGATGGCGCGTTCCTGTGGCTCCCAGCTCTCTAGCTGCCTCATCACTCTCATCTTCCTCCAGCTGCCTGTGCCCGCGTCAGGTAGGAGTTTCTGAACCTCTTCCCCTGCCTGGGACATCTGACAATGGCGTCCCCAGAGTAAGGAGGCTTGGCCAGAGGCCTTATTTCTTTTGGGGTTCTGTTCTTCCCCTACGACCCCCGCCCCCCCTCATTTGTTTATTTCTTTTATTTTTTGTGGGGGCGGCCTGGCCATGGGCCCAACCCCCCCCGCCCCGTCCCCCGACACTCTTTTCTCGGTCCTTCCCTAAGACGTGCCCTTCCTCATCCCTTCTCCAGCTCTTTCTCCCGCATCCCTCCCACCCAGACCGCCCTGTCTCTGTCCCTCGCACAGGGGATGCCGGCAAGTTCCACCTGGCCCCGCTGGGGGGCACAGCCGAGCTGCTCTGCCCGATCTCGCTCTGGCCTGTGACCGAGCCCAGGGAGGTGAGGTGGCTGCGGTCCCCACACCCGCAGCGCTCCCAGGTCGTTCACGTGTTCCGGGATAAGAAGGACTGGGATGAAGAGCTGATGCCGGAATATAAGGGGAGGACGGCGCTGGTGAGAGACCCCCAAGAGGGAAGTGTCACTCTGCAGATCCGCGACGTGCGCCTCGAGGACCGAGGGCCCTACCGATGTCTGATCCAGATCGGAAACCTGAGCAGGGAGGACACTGTGACCCTGCAGGTTGCAGGTTAGGATGGGTTGGAGGTGCCCAGGGTCATTGGAGGCAACTGGATGAGCCTAGGACCTACTTTGTCCCTCCATATCTAGACTTTTCTTTCATCCGACTTGGGGGGGCTGGTTCAGCCCTACCCAGCTGGGGCCGTTGACCTCAGTCCAGGCTGTGACACTGGCCCGGGCGTTTCTGATGAGGAAGGAGCCCCGACTTTGGAAAACACTGTACAATGCAGGTCCTGGTTAAATACAATCAGTGGCCTGTAGGGCTTGGTAGCTCAGATAATAGCTTTTCCTGTCTGGGTCATCTTTCTTTGCTCATTTATGAAGGAACTCATAACCATGTCTCTAAGGAAATGTCCTCAAGGTCCAGATTCCCAGTGGTGACGAGGACTTATTTGGTGGGTCCTCTCCTGGGATTCTGAGTACTTAAAGGCCCAGGAAGGTAGACATAGTGTTTCTCAAACTAGCTTCAATATTTGAAAAAACAGTCTATCAAAACCCCAACCCAACTCAACCCAACCCTCATCTTTGCATTTGCTTGAATGATACCAGCTCCATGTGGTCGCAAGCTGATGGTCATATATGAGTCACACACCAAAAAGAGGCAATGAATCAATTACTTTAAAACACATAGTAGTTGGTAGACAGCCTCTCCAAACATGAAGTCATTTGGTAGGTAAAGAGTATTTTCTTTAAAGGGAACTGAGGTGCCCAAAAGAATCTGAACCACGTGATGCAGTTACTGCTATGGGTGGGTTTTGAAATGTCTGAGGATGAAGGTAGAGACTGGTTTATCCCATTGGGAGGAGCGTGGGGGGAGGGCAGACATTCCAGTTCCATAAACAGCTGCCCCTGTTCATCAGAGGAAGAGGGCTCCGGCTGGGACCACGCCCTTGCTGAAGCCCTGCCCATCTGTTTCTGGGCTGATTCAGCCAGGCAGTCTCTCCTCTCCAGTTCTAGGCTCCGATCCCTACATCCACGTGAACGGCTATGACGCTGGATGGATCCAACTGGTGTGCAGGTCGGTGGGATGGTTCCCAGAGCCCTGGGCCGAGTGGAGAGACCCTCAAGGCAGGGCGCTTCCATCCCTGTCTGAGGCCCACTCTCTGGACAAAGTCGGGCTCTTCCAATCAGCAGTGTCCAGCAGAGTCAGGGACAGCACACTGGGGAATGTGTCCTGCACCTTCCGCAACATTGCCCTTGGCCAAGAGAAGACCGCAGCCATGGTCATAGCAGGTAAAAGGTGGGACAGAAAACACATTTGAAGCTCCTGGTGGTTCCAGAGGAAACTCCTACTCTAGTGGGAATTTTATAAAGAATTTTTAAAGTTTTTAAATTCTAAGAATAGAGCATGTCAATTATAGAAAACTTGAAAAAATACAGAATATTTTATAGAAACTGAAAAATGGCTTATAATCTCATAAATTCCAGAGAACCACTGCTAATATTTTTGGTATATTTCTTTCAAGACTTTCTTGTATGTATGTGTCTCTGAGTGTGTATATGTTTACATCTATGTACTCTGGGGTTTTTTTCCACTTACAATGTCATGAGCAATTTTTTTCTTTTTTTTGCTCATGTCCACAAGTAACACGATTTTAAGGGCTGTGTAGTATTTCACTGTGTGGCTACAGAATAATAAAATTAATCAAAGCCCTATGCCTGGGCATCAGACGTTTCCCAGTATTTCTTTAAATTATAACTAATGGTGTGGTGAACATCTTTGCACATATTTTGCCAAGTGATTCTGATTATTTTCTTAGAAAGTGCTTCTGGAAGTAGAATTAATGGGTCAAAGGGTATGAACCATTTAAAGATCCTTGAAAAATGGAGTCATATGGCAGAGAAGCGTGGTTGTAGAGCCAAGAAAGATAGACCGGAGCCTGGGCCTGGGGTAGGGAGGAGTCATGGACCTCTGCTAATCCTGTCCTTTCTTCTCTTACTACTGTCACTGCCCCTCACTAAGTGCTATGGCCTTACATGACTGGTCTCTTTAAATCTCTCTAAAACCCAAGAAGACAGGGATGCCCTGTCACCCCCATTTTACAGATGAGGAAAGCCAGCCTTGGAGGGGCTCAGTCTCCTGCCTAGGGTCATGCAGTGTTGAGTAAGGACATACCCAGCTTGGGCTCTTAACCACTTCTGCTCATTTTTTTTCTTCTCTATTTCTTCTTTCCTTTCTCCTTTCTTTCCTGCCTAGGCTTTAGGCCTGCTGCTGTAGCATCATAGAAATTTTTTTGCCCTACCGATAGTGCTCAGGGCAGAGAGGTCACACTGACTGCCATTCCAGAGCACAGTGAGGATGTGAAGGGGGTGGTGAGCAGGTGCTCCTGAGACCATAGGTATTTAGGGAGGAGAGCACCTTCAGTCCTCTAAAGTCCCAGGAGTATTTTTCCATTGAATTACATGGCAGTATGAGATTGTGGTCAAAAAGCTTGTTTAAACTATCATCTTCAAGCAGGACCATCTAAACCATTCCTGAGAGATGACCATCTCACTGATCTTTAATGGCATCCAGGGTTTGAGTTACCAAGAGAAGCAAAGAACCTCACCAGTTTTGGCTGGAGGTCTCTCCCTAGAGGTGATGGGAACAGTTGGGACATTCCTGAGCTGTCCGCCACCTGAGGCACGGCAGAAGCTCTCAGACGTCTCCCTGAGATGGTCATTGGTGGTTTTTGTTTCAGCCCCGTCTCCAGGGAGGATCTCCTCCTTAGCAGTGGCTCTTGCTGTGATCCTTTGTGTCCTGGGGCTCCTCATCATGGTGTGCCTTTGGCTTATCTGGAAGCAAAGAAGATCAAAAGGTAACTAAGTGGTCAAGGAGCCCAGGCGGGCAGGAGGTGGAGCTATGGCTGCTCTGGGAAAATGCTAGATGGACGCAGATGTAGCCATGACACTTGTCCATAGGGTGAGGGGCCCACACGTTGGCTGGGAGAAAACTGGTAGAGCTGTGCCCTGGGGACTCACACTGCAGAGAGAATTCAATAAATTTCAGAAAGACCCCTGGGCAGAGCTGTGAATTCTTACTCTCTGAGAAATTAGAAAATAACCAACTATGCCAGCCTTCTAGTTAACTAAGATATTAATTAGAGCCTTCTGATCAGGAAATCCAATTATATTCATTGGTTAAAATCCTCAGAAAAATGGCAAAGGGTTGTAAAGGACTTTGAAAATCACATAATACAACACTCCTTCCCCCATCTGACGGATTGAAGACCCTTTCAAATGGTCACACACTCCTAGTGACAAGGAGTCAGTCCCACTGAGGCAGCTTGGGCTATCTTTGGACAACTATACCTGTTAGAAAAAGCCCTTCCTAAGCTGAGCTGACATCTCTTTCTCCCTTTTAGAGAAGCTTCTCTATGAACAGGTGATGGAGGTAGGTAAGTGTCCTGGGATGGGGGTGGGGAGATGTTTCTTTGTTGTGTTAATTTCTGTACCCCCAGTGCCCACTAATCTAAATTCTATACCTGAAAATTCCATCATCTGCTGTCCTTGGTGACGGTGGTGGTGGTGACGGTGTCTAAATATGTTGCTCCCAGTGTTTACTGACTCTTACTTGCAATAGTGTGCCTTCCAGTATGCTGGGTGATTTTTGTCTTTGAGCTCATTGTGTCATCTCACTCTGTGTCATCTTATTCATGTAGACTGAATGTAGGGGAAGCTTTTATTCACTCAAGAAATAATTGATAACTATCTCCTAAATGCCCTGGACCACACTAGATTCTGGGGCTGCAATGGTGAGTAAGAGCAGACACAGCCTGTGCCCTCCGGGAAGTTGCAGTCTAGCCAAGGAGATTACGTGAATTAAATAATTACACAAATAAATGTATACTAAAGAAATGCCACAAAAGAAAGCTCCCAGTTCTGTGAAGGCTATGACCAGGAGGACCCAACCAAGCTTGAGGCTGGGGATGTGATGTTTGACTTGAAGGACCGGAAGTCATGAGTGAAGAGGGAATGGAAAACCATCTTCCGCAGAAAGAACAGCTTGTGAAAGAGGCATGGTCGGGGAGAGCGGCACTCACTGGGGAAGCTGAAAAGGTGCAGGAGTGAAGGGAGAGATGGCAGGGACGAGGCTGGGGAGTTAGGTAGGGGTTGGGCCACCTGAGGCCTTGTAGATCACGTGAGGATTTTAGTCCTTCTGAGAGCGGTGGTAAAGCAATGCACGGGGAAATCCCATCAGAATTGTGCTTTGAAAAATTCTCTCTGGCCGCAGTGTTGAGAAGAGACCAGAGGCAGTAAGCAGGATGTGGGGGACAATTTGAGCTGCCAGTTCCAGAGGAGAGAGAGATGATCAGGGATGGATCAGGGAGGTGGCGGTGCAGATAGACAGAGGTGGACAGGACCAAGAGCAGCAGGTAGATCAATAGGAATCAGGGACCCTCCCAGTGATGGCGAAGACTCTCATGATGTTTTCCTTTCCTTCCTCTAGAAAACCTTCTCTCGGACCATGCAAGAGAAAAAGGTAATTATATGTAAAGAGTGACGGGTAGGAAACAAATAACATATTCTTTCTCTTCCCCCCTTTCATCTTCTCCTCCAAGCTGGGGCAAGTACGGAGTGCACACAGCAGGCACTCTGGCTGTTTTGCCCGCAAGCGGAGGGGACAGTGAAGTGGAATGATGGTGAGGACTTCCCACTCAGGAGTCAGACAAACTTGGGTTTGAATCCTGCCTTCTTGGCCACTTGATGACCTTGGGCAAATTTCATGTCCCTCTGAGCCTCAGACCACACCTCTGTAAAAGGGAATAATAACTCTATGCACCTGACATTGTTGAGAGGATTCAGTGCCTGCCTCAGTATAAGAACAGGACGTAGATGGAGCCATTAGTAGAGGAAACGGTGACACTAAACCATACACTCCCGTGGAGCCGGGTCACATTCAGCTTCCTTGCTCCAATGTCCAATGCCCAACACTTGCCTGGCTTAGACAGGCCTGGCAGTGGACTCAGACATGTAACATCAGTTCTCTGGCAGGGTCAGTGCCAGGTAGGGGAAAATGTGGGCCACGTGGCCTTCCAGAGAAGCCACAAGTCCTTCCCCAAAGCACACGGAGCATACACATATGTCCCCAAACCTTCTGGGGCCTCCAAATTTGTGAAATTTGTAACTTCAGGGGAGCGACTTTAGAGAATAATAAAGTGATATCAACAAGTTCATGTGAGGCCTTTAGCTAGTTTTACACCTTAGATATCACAACAGTAGGCTATAAAAGGACAGCAAGGCACACACTCATACACCGCAGTTCCAAACACGCTGAAACACACACAGACAGTGGAAATGAAACCAGACAAAAAGGAAGGGGAAGGAGGAACCACAGACTTGGGCAAGCTGGGTCATTGGGAAAGTGTTACCAGGACCATCAGATTCCCCTGGGACATGGCGCTGGATTAGAGACTGAGAGAAATGTCACCATCCTTTTCCTCCTGAGGGGTGGAGTGATGAGCCCTCTAGGGCTCCAGGATAAAGGGGCAGGATGTGATCACTCACTTCTCTCCTTCTCTCTCTCTCTCTGGTTTTTAGGAAGACTCCATAAAGCCCTCAGTAAGTTCTGCTCCTCCTCTGTGGCACAAACTTCCTTCTGCTGACACCTTTGCTTTAGGATGAGTGTCTGAGTTCCACTTCCTGGGGCAGAAGGGAGGGGACAAGGGTAATTCAAGCCATGGAAATTGGGGATTTCTTGGCTCTCCACGGCCTCTTTTCTCAAGTATGTCCTCCTCCACTTTCCAACTAGATAACAGTTCTTATCTATTTCTAACTAGACAACAACTGTTATCTAGTCTCTAAATGGGAGATGTTTTACCAAGAAGAGATGTACCTCCCATAAGTGAAGCCATCTAGAAGTCCCTTTTATTACCCAGGCATGACATTTCCTTAGGTGGGGTCCACGATGGATGGATCCTCATTAAACTGAACACGCTGGAGCGGTGCTTCTCCACCATTTCTTGTATGAAAACGTTTTAAAAAAAAACCCTGCAGACATTTGAAGTATCTGTTTTATTTTACATTGAGAAAATATACATGGTAATCTAATAGAGACTCAGTTTTAATTAATTAATTAATTTTTTATTTTTTATGTAGAGACAGGGTCTTGCTCTTGCTCAGGCTGGTCTCGAACTCCTGAGCTCAAGGGATCCTCCCATCTCCGCCTCCCAGAGTGCTAGGATTATAGGCGTGAGCCACTGCGCCCAGCCTGAGACTCAGTTTTAAATGAACTTATATTTTATTCTTCTCGCATACACATACATACATTCATGATCATTACCCATAGGTGTGAGATGTCTCATTTATTCAGTCTGCATAAGGCTGGGCTCACATAGGAATTGGCTGATTCTCTGCAGTAGCGCTGAGGACCATGGCCCACAGCTGGGAGCTATTGCCATTGCAGACGCTCTTATGGGGATGTTCTGGGGTATGGCAATTGAGGATCTGCTTTAGGAATGTTTGGGATGGGACTGTAGCACTGTGGGAATGTAGAAGCCCTTGTTCTGATCTGCCAAACTTTCTTATTCTTTAGAGAAACTCCGGAGTGAACTGAGTAAGTTTCCCATGTTCTTGTAACTTCCATACCAACTTATCTCCTGCTGTCCTGATAGTTCCAGTGATAGTTCATCCCTCTTCTTTCTTCTTTCATAGAGTTGAAAAGAGCTGCAGCAAACTCAGGTGAGATGCACTTGCTCCGTGTTTGACCCCCACCCTCTGGGAGTTCTTGATTTCTCCAGCGCTTTAACAGTCAGTCCCTTCTATGTCTTTCAGGCTGGAGAAGAGCCCGGCTGCATTTTGGTAAGTTACACCAATCCCACAGATCCGCATCTCAGAGCCTGTCCTCCTTATGGCTTTGTGACCTTAGATTGTGCTCCATTCCTTTGAAATGCAGACTGTAATTTCTTTTATTGTTATCGAATCTGTTTATCTTTTGATCAAATTTTTAAAAATCTTTATGATCTTTCTTTTGGGCACAGATTTAGAAAGTCTTCTCTCTTAGAGCACTGATATTAGGTTTGCTCTTATTATGGGTTTTTCTATGATTTTTAAGATTTTTCTTAAGTTTATAAGTTATTTGTATTTCTTTGTTACTCGTCTGTTCCTGTCCTATTTGGGCTACTTTTTGACTTTCGAGGATTCTTTCTAGATAAAGTATATTAACTCTTTGTCATCTTTGTCACCACTCATTTTTAATTTGCATTTTAATTTCTTTATAGTATTTTTCTGGTGCATGAATGTTTCATTTTTATGTAGTCAAATTCATTAATCTTTTCCTGTGTAGTCTCTTCCGTGCTCTCAGGTTTGGGAAGTCCTTCCTGTCCCACAATCAGATAAATAGCCACTGCTTCTGCCTCTTTCCACACACATGCCACACTGTTTTCTTTCTCTACAGACTAATTTTCTTGGGGGATGGTGACTGAAATTCTCAGAGAAGAAGGGAATGGCTTGGGCAGATGCCCCAATAATATAGACTACAAAAAGCTTTCATAGTTTTATTGTAAAAAGATTTGCACGTGTCTCTTTTTAATTTATTCCTAAATAGTTTGCATTTTTGCTGCTGTTCCAATGGGATCCATTGTTTTCACTGCTTTGGGACCCTTATCAATTTTCTAGGCTCTTTATTCCCCTACTGTTCATACTATCGTCCTTCAGGCAGAGCACAACAGAATCGATGACCTGGCCACTTGAGAAAGCACCAGGTCACCTTGGTTGGAATTCTGGGAGCTCATGAACGCTCTGCCTCACATTCACAGCCTGGCTTACTGCCACCACTTCAACCAAGCATGGTTTCATGGACTTAACTCTCCAAGAAGAGCCTGTTTCCCATATTTAGGGGAGGAGGGCGACTCACTGTGACACCCATAATCCACAGTGTTAAGGAAAAATCCTCTCTATGACAACATTTAAAAATGATAATTATAAGCAATAATTTTCGGTAACAAAATGAGCATCATGCACTCACTGTAGCAACGAGCCACTATCTCATACATTAGTTCATCAAGTCTGCACAGTAGCTCTAAACATATGTTCTGTCATTACCCCCATTTTACAGATGAGGAAACTAAGGCTTAGAGATGAATAACAAGCCCAAGGCTATGTAACTAGCACTAGAGCTAGGACTCAAACATCCTATGTAGCTGCAGGGTCTAACATCAAAGCCTAAGTTTATCATCATATATTAGATTCCTTTGGAACATTGCAGACAGAGGTAATGTCTTAGTCCACTTTCTGTTGCTATAACAGAATACCTAAGACTGGGTAATTTATAAAGGAAAGAGGTTTATTTAGCTCACAGTTCTGGAGGCTAGGAGGTCCGAGATCGGGTAGCTGTATCTGGTGAGGGCCTCATGCTGCTTCATGAAAAGCAGAAGAGCAAGTGAGTGCATGCGAAGAGAGAGGAGACAGAGCAGGGCAACCTGCTTTAGTACAGCCCACTCTCCAGAGAACAACCCAGTCCTGAGAGAACTGCATTAATCGCTTCGTGAAGACGGAGCCCCCGTGACCCAAACACCTCCCAACACTACCTCAATGAGGGTTTAAGGTTCCAACGCATAATCTTTTGGGGGACACACTCAAACCATAGCAGGTAGGATTTCCTAAAGATTAAGGCAATTTCACAGACAGATGAAGAAGTTCTTTTACTTAGTACCCTACCAAGAGACCTATTCTTTCAAAGGCAGTATTATTTGGTTTCAGTTGATATGTGGGGGGAGACCCATTAACTAAAATGGGCCAATAACAGTGATTGCAGACCTAAAGATTGTTTTTCCCTCCCAAGCTACTAAGAGATCCCTTAAGACCTAGCCTTCCCAAACCTCACCTCTCTGTGGCTCTCTGCAGTGGTGGTGACCCTGGACCCGGACACGGCACATCCCAAACTCATCCTGTCTGAGGACCGGAAATGTGTGAGGCTCGGAGACAGAAGGCAGCCTGTGCCTGACAACCCCGAGAGATTTGATTTCGTCGTCAGTGTCCTGGGCGCAGAGTACTTCACGGCTGGCTGTCACTACTGGGAGGTGTATGTGGGAGACAAGACCAAATGGATCCTTGGGGTGTGCAGTGAGTCAGTGAGCAGGAAGGGGAAGGTCACTGCCTCGCCCGCCAACGGACACTGGCTTGTGCGACAGAGTGGCAGGAATAAGTATGAAGCTCTCACGTCCCCGCAGATCTCCTTTCGCCTTAAAGAGCCTCCTCAGTGTGTTGGGGTTTTCCTGGACTATGAAGCAGGAGTCGTCTCTTTCTACAATGTGACTGACAAATCCCACGTCTTTACTTTCACTGACAGTTTCTCTGGCCCCCTTCGCCCTTTCTTTGAACCTTGTCTTCATGATGGAGGGAAAAACACAGCGCCTCTAGTCATTTGTTCAGAACTACAGAAATCCGAGGAATTGGTTGTCCCCAAGCCAGAAGGAAAACACCACGCTAATGGAGATGTGTCCCTGAAGGTGAATCCTTCCTTACTACCCGCTCAGGACCCAGAGCTTTTCTCACTCAGGGATATGACCCTGTCCTTGCCCTCTGATCTTGGCCCAGCCCTTCAGGGGCTCAAGGTTCCTTCTTTTTAGGGATGTGCCTTGTTACCTGCTCCCATGACCATCCAGCCCAGTGCCCTGGATTTCAGTATCCTGGCCCAGCACCCGCTTCTGGAATGTCTCCTCTCCTTAATCCAAATCCTGACCCTTTTGTGGTTTCTCTTTGTACCACTCTTCTCCCAGGGCTCAGTTCTGAACCCCGCCTTTCTTCCGGCACTTGAGGTTCCCATCGATCTGAGGGGAGAATTCCTAAAAACCATACAAGCAGTTTAGGTTCAGGTGAACATGCAGAATTGTGTCCCTGAGATACGGCACAGCTTCAGGCGAAAGTGTTCTTTACTCCAGGGGATATTTAGAAGAACTTCTCTCTGCCTCATCCTGCCCTCAGGCTTTTCCTCCAGGAGTTATGGCCCCTAGTCTCTGACTTCTTACTTAACCCCTCAAAGATTGCTTTTCTCTCTTCTCTCTCTCAGTTCAGGCCTCTGGCCCCCAAAGTCAGCTTTCTAAAAGTAAACACGTTTTGGATCACATGCCCTTCATTCTTTCTTCAGGAATGGGGGTGGAGAGGCAGAGGAGTAAAATATGCCATCCTTTTCTATTTTCTTTTCTTTTTTTTGAGACAGAGTCTTGCTGTCACCTTGGCTGGAGTGCAGTGGTGGGATCATAGCTCACTGAAACCTCAAATTCCTGGGCTCAAGCAAGCCTCCTGCCTTAGCCTCCCAAGTAGCTGGGACTATAAGGCATGCACTAGCACACCCGGCTAATTTTTCTATTTTGAGTACTGACAGGGGTCTCACTTTTGCTCAGGCTGGTCTTGAACTCCTGACCTCAAGTGATCCTTCCATCTTGGCCTCCCAGTGTGCTAGGATTACAGGCATGAGCCGCTGTGCCTGGGCCCTTTTCTATTTACTGATGCTGTTTACAACATAATTTGGTGACATCCAGAGCTAATTGTACGTGTTTTCAAAAGCTAATCTACCTATTGATGATAACCAGGTACAGGAACTTAAAACATAGTAGCCATAATTCTAAAAGGCCTCAGGAGCAGAGTCAGGGAGCTGGGAAGCATAGCTGCAAACAAAGAGCTCAGCTGTGTGTGGCCTTGAAAACAGAGTGCAGACGAGTTAGTCTGTAGTGCTGGCCCTTTTGAATACCTTCCTGAGATTCGGAGAGGCCCAGCTAGAAACAGTGGCATTTTTAACCATCAGTGTAGAAGCTTTTCCCCCCACAAGACCATTGTATCAAAAGATTTGACAATTTGTGTAACAAACAGCCTCTTAGGTTAGAGAGTATTGATTTCGAATAAGAAGTTGGTAGACCACGTGTGAGGATAAAATAATGAACCTGATTTTTGGGTGTGGATTGCAGAAAGAAACCTAGTCACTTTCAAGTTACACCACATATGCGATCTGGCCTATTTGTGGAGATGCTGGCTATCTGTGTGCAGATGGGTATACAGCTCTACCCAACAGAAACTGGACCTTTCTGTTGTTAGAAGTTCTCTCTGTTAATACCTGTATTAGGGTTCTCCAAAGAAACAGAACGAATAGGAGATGTGTGGTTCTCTACCCCCTTGCCCCCGACCACTGACTGTATGTTTGGGGTTAGCAGCCCCTTCTCCTCTCCCACCCCTCCTCCTCTCCCACCCCTCCTCCTCTCCCACCCCTTTGGCCCTAAGCCCACTGGCCTCCCTGAACCCAGCTCCTGTGTATATATATAGAGAGAGAGAGAGAGAGAGAGAGAGAGAAACAGAGAGAGAGAGAAACAAAGAGAGAGGGACAGCGAGAGAGACAGACAGAGAGAGATTGATTGATTTATTATAAGGAATTGGCTCACATGATTATGGAGTTGGCAGGTCGCAAGACCTGCAGGGTAAGTCAGCAAGCTGGCATCCCAAGAGAGCTGATGGTGTAGTTCTAGTCTGAAGGCAGCAGGCTTGAGGCCTAGGAAGAGCTGATGTTTCAGTTTGAGCCTGAAGGCATGAAAATAGCTGACGTACCAGTCCAAAGTCTGGCTGGAGGAAGAATTCTCTCTTAGTTGGGGGAGGGTCAGTGTTTGTGTTCTATTCAGATCTTCAACTGATTGGATGAGGGCCATCCACATCAGAGAGGGACACTGTGCTTTATTCATTCAGTCTACTGATTTAAATGTTAATCTCATCCAAAAAACGCTATCACAGACACACCCCGAATAATGTTTGACCAAATATCGGGGCATCTTGTGGTCCAGTCAAGTGGATACATAAAATTAACCATCACAGTGGCTGAGTAGAATTTTTTGTTTGCTTTTGTACAGTTTTAAAATAAAAGTTTGATATTCATTGTTTGGTATGCTGTTATTTTCATTGTGAATGAGAAGTTGCAGGGAAAGGCTTTGAGCTGCTAACAGAAAAAACACATTATGGGATTGGTTTCCAAACAGCTTTGAGTCCATTCAAGCAAGCTTTAACCACAGCTCATAAAAGCCATAGTTTTATTCCTGTTTGCCCTGTAGTATTTTTTTCTTATTTTAAAATCAATTTATAAACTAATAGTGTTCATCAGGTATTTATATTTCACTCACCCATATTCAGTTCCAAACACACTTTTCTGAATATCCCAATCTTAAAACTAACTCACATTGTCACACTGGCTCTGCGCGATGAGAGAATTGACCTTACCAGCCAGAAAGAGAACTTACATTTCTGGGGGCAGAAGATATATGTATCTCCCTTCCAGTTCTACACTCCTTCGATTTTAAACTGTAAACTAGAGTGAAGTGCCAGACACTGGGCTTCGCTGAATGTCTACAGAACGTGTCAAGGGTCACTAACTTTACTTTGAGTTCATGACCCCTTGGAGGTCATGTAGGTTAGCTATACCAATTTTACAACTTCCCAGACAGGTGACCCTGCGCCATGGGCTTGAATACCCGAGCGCGGAAGGAAATCCAGCAACCTTACGAGGGAACCCAGTTTCTACCGTTAGGTTCTAAACTTGGCAAATGTTTTCCCCGGAGTCACCAGGGCTACAACCCCCAGGACTACAACTCCCAGCATGCCATGCCCAAGGCCTAAGCTTATTAGCGGTCCCTCCTGGATCTCTTGCGTTGTGGCAGCCATTACAGCCAATGGGAAGGAAGAATAATCTCCAGAACCCAATCCTGGGGAGGTAGGGCGGATCTTTTTTGGGTTCCGGCTCCGGCTCCTTCCCCCGCCGACCGAGGCGGCGCTGTACCTGACCGAGCGGCGGGAGCGAGGTGGGTCCTGTTTGGGCCTGAGGTTATGGGGGGAGGCGGACTCGACTTCGCGGGGAGCTCCGAGCACGGCCCCTTTCCTCTCACCGAGGAGTTGGAGGCTGCTGCTTTGCTCCCCAGACCCAGTGGTAGGCAAAGGGGCCCTGTGCGCCTCCGCTCTGACCCCTGTCCCCCGGCCCGCGCGGCCAGGCTGCTGTCCACACCTCTCTCCATGTCTGCCGGCCAGTCTCCTGTTGGCCTTTGAGTACTCCACCCCCTCGCCCCCAGCTAATGACCGTACGTTTGGGGTTAGCAACCCCTTCTCTCCCGTCCCTCCTCCTCTGCCACCCCTTTGGCCCCAAGCCCACCGGCCTCCCTGAACCCAACTCCTGCCCTCCAGAATACTGTACCATTAGACTCTGCCATTAGCTTCTTGTTGCCCCACAACACACAACCCAGCCTCTTGGGCCCTGATTCTCTGACACCTCTGATGGCAGCCTTTGCCCGTTCTCCCCTACCATCTCCCCGGACTCTCTGAATCCTTCGGTCCTCCTCTATCTCTGACCCGTTATTTAGCTCTGCTGTGAGTCCCTGTTCTTGAGTACCTTGTCCTTGGTCTTTCTAAGCTCCTCTCTCCCCTTCCTCCCCCCAGTTCTCCACCCTGAACTTTGGTCCTTCAGACGACATTCTAGCTTGGCCTCCTCCTTCTAACCCAGGCCCTTTGCCTTCATCATCTGTAATCACCAGCCCCGTCTTCTTGGCTCTTACTTCTTAGACCTGGCCCCTTCTCCGCTGTCTCAGCAACCCCTTCCACCATTGCTTCCACCCGTGCTGCTGAGCCCCTAGGAAGACAAGCCCTATAGGCCCCTTTCACCCTTAAATCTCCGAAATGTGGCCTGAAAGTATACTTTAGTACACTGTCTTCTCAGTAGGTTGTGGGCTCCCTATCTCTGCAAGTCCCAGTCTTGCTCACCCATGCTGCAAGTCCTAGCTCAAATCCCGTCTCTTCCACGAAGCTGCTCATCCCTGATCTTGTCAGGGAAATATGCCTGTGTCGTCTAAACTCCCATGGCGCTGTTTTATTTCTTTCTTTCCTTCCTTCCCTCCTTTTCTCGCTCCAATACTAGTGTAATGGTTAAAAGCCACTGGCTTTGGAGTGATGGGCATAGGCCTCAGTTCTGCCACTTATTTGCTGTGTGCCCTTGGGTAAGTTACTTAAATTCTCTGAGCCTCAGTTTTCTCATCTCTAAAATAAGAATGCTGTGAAATGAAATGAGATGATTATATGGCTCTTAGTCCATGGCCTAGCACTTGGTATCAGCTTCAAAAAATGTTAACTATTATTGCTTTCTGTATAATGTGCCAGATACTGTGCTAGGCAGTGAGGAGAGGGTACAAAGGTGACCAATGCACTGGTCCCCTGGAACTTAACCTTCTGCACTGTATGACAGTCTGTTCCACTACATTCATAAACTGTTTGAGGGTGGTAATCATAATCCTAAGTCATTTTGCTCTTATATTGACCCAGCATTCAGCCCTGGGTAGAGCTCGAGCTTGATAAATTGTAGGTTCTCAGAATAGCAGTTTGGAAGTGAGTGGAGGCCGTGTAGCTCATTGCATAGAGAGAGATACTGGAGCCCTACATGGGGTGGGTGGTAGTGGGGATCGAGTTAAGATCACATCCGTTAACTCATTCATTCAAAAGACATTTGAGCACCCAGCCTTGTGCTGCAGAAGGAGATTACTAAAATAATCCAGTCCCTTTTCTCAAGCTGGATATAAATTACCAGTGGAAACAGACTTGCAAACGGGTAATTGCAAATCACTGTAAAAGCAAACACGATTCTGTGGGTGCATAAAGGAGAAAGTGGGCAGCAATCAGGAGATTGCTGAGGAACAGTGGGTGAGAATAGACACAAGTAAGCATGAAATGGGTTCTGGAGACAGGCCTGACCTTCCCCTATTCAACTCATTTAACAAATACTTTTCAGGATCTACTGTATATGCCTGCCACTACTCTAGAGAGTTTGGGTTACCTTAGTAAATAAAATGAAACAAAGATCTCAGCCTTCATAGGACTTACGTTTTAGCAAGGGAGGTAAACAATAAATAATAGACATACATAAATAGACTGTCAGAAGGTGAGATGTGCTATGGGACAGGGGGACTGGGAGTGTGTTAAGGGCTTGTAATTTTTAAAAGGATGGTCAGGGTAGAGTGAATTTAAGTATGAAGGAATAAATAGTTTCTGATGTTTACTTGCGTTTTTGAAAGTGAAGCAAGCCTGTTTTCATATTGCTTATTTGAATTCTTCAGGAAACACTAACAAGAGCTGGTAATCTACAGCTCACCTCCTGTTGTTTTAAATAAAGTTTTATTGGAACACAGCCATACTCATTCCCTTAAGTCTTGTTTATGGCTGCTTTCATGAGACAATGGCAGACTTGAGTAGTTACAACGGAGATTTTATGGCCCTAAATATTTGCCAATTATTCATTATCTGGCCTTTTACAGGAAAAAGTTGCTGACCTCCGCTCCTTAAAGTGTTGAGGTTCTGTCTGTATTTCATGTTATAGAAGATTATATACAGTCTTGTACTATTTTTTAATTAAAACATTTTTTCCTTTCCTAACAAGATCACTTAAAAGGTCTTTTTCATTCTTGTATTCTTCACAGGGCTAGGCCATAGTGTTTTCACACTCTGCTGAGGATTACAGGCATTTCCTTTCATACAAAATCCCACAGTGTGGGCAGGAATCAAAGTTAGTGATGAGGAAGTTGAGGCTCAGAGTGGTTGAATAATTTGCAGAGTTATAATATGTGTCACCATTGTAATCCAACCATAAATGTAGTCAGTACCACTTCCTTCATTCTGTGTTGCTTTTTTCCAAAAATACTTGTTGACTTAAAGGAATTATCAGTCTTTCATTTTCTATCCTCAGTGTCCTATCATAGTTTGTGCTTCCCTCCCTCATCCCTTTGTTCATGTCACTGTGGACAGCATCTCCACCAGTCCGCTCTGCCTTTTGAAATGTTATTATTTCTTCAAGGCCCAGAATGGAAATGCCACCATTCTTGTCTTATCAGGAGTACTTTTTTCTTCCCTTCCTTCCCTGGTTTGGCTGTAGGAATCTGAAGGAGCCTGTGCAGCTTAGCAAATATTTACTGATGTTTTTGTAAAGCAACCTCTGTGCTGGGCACTGTATGTCTTTGGGTGTTTGGGGTGGGTGGTTAGTGTGGTCTGTACATCTGTGTCTGTGTGTATCTTCGTGTGTATTTGGTATGTGAGTGTGTGACTGTGTGGTTTAAGAATATGGCTGTATATGTGTGAGGTATGTGAGTGTCTAGCCATGTATATGACTGTATGTATGTTGTTGTGTGTATGTGGTTAGGGGTGTGTGTGTGGTGTGAGAATGTATGGCTGTGTATGTGGTGTGTATTTGTGTGGTTGTATATGTGTGACTGTTGTGTGTGTGATATGAAAGTATGATTGAATGTGTTTGGTGGCGTGTATGGCTGTGTGTCATGTGGGAATGTGGCTGTGTGTGTGAGTGTGTATGTGTGAGCCTGCATGTATGAGTGCATGTATGTGTGTGTGTGGCTTAGTGTGGTGGAAGTTAGCACAGACTAATCAGAACACACACAACCCAGGCCCCCCAGTAGCTCTTGGAGGTCCCAGATGTCAACCCTTTTGTTGCTAGAGTATGGTGAGGTCTAGAGAGGTGTGGGTGGTAGAAATCTTAAGAGTCAAAGGGAGATCTTGTAAACAACTAGGAGAGCCTCAACAATTAGAGGTTTTGTTAAGTTAATTTTTTTTTTTGAGACAGAGTCTCACTCTGTTGCCCAGGCTAGGGTGCCATGGCATCAGCCTGCCTAGCTCACAGCAACCTCAAACTCCTGGGCTCAAGCGATCCTCCTGCCTCAGCCTCCTGGGTAGCTGGGACTACAGGCACACGCCACTGTGCCCAGCTAATTTTTTCTATTTTTAGTTGTTTGGCTAATTTCTTTCTATTTATAGTACAGATGGGATCTCGCTCTTGCTCAGGCTGGTCTCAAACTCCTGAGCTCAAGCAATCCTCCCGCCTCAGCCTCCCAGAGTGCTAGGATTACAGGCATGAGCCACCGCGCCTGGCCTGTTAAGTTCATTTTGAAAGCAGGCAAATAGATGTATACTTTTTTTTCTTACCCCCACCCCATGTATACTTTTAAGGAAGGTTTTTATTTTTAATCTTTTCAAAAAAGATTAAACATAAAAGGAGTTTTAGTTAAGTTATAGTTAGGCAGAAAAATTGAACTCATCCCAAAATGGAAGCTCCTTTACTTGTACATGAATTATGGTCTAGATTGTCATTTTTTAGTGGTATTAAGAAGAGTGATATTATTCAAATTGCACAAATATCTAATGGTGATAGACAAAGCTGGTGCCTTCTTTTTGCACTGGGGGTAGCTTTAAATATCTGTGAAAGTTTGTCACTTGAAAGTTAGTAAGTAAAGGCATTGTATCCAAGTATTCCAGTTGATTGAGGTTATTTCTGATGGATGGTTCCATGGAGAAGGTATACACCCCTTTAAATAGAACAAAAGATTCCCTGTGGTCTGGCCTGACCCGAGGAGTAAAGGTGTTGGCCATTTGTGTTCATTCCCAGGGTTCAGAGATGGGCAGTGAGAAGGAGCAGAGTCCAGAACCACACCTGCCTGAGGAAGGGGAAGGGGGTAAGCCTTGGAGAGTGGATGACTCAGAGGGTTCTCGTACCCCACCTGGGGAGAAAGACCATGGGCAGGAGAGCCTGTTGGAGGGGCCACAAGAAACCTATCCAAAAAAGCCATGGCAGAAAGTTACTGCGCCAGCTCAAGAGCCAGGGGACCTCATTGTTCATCCAAGGCCTGAGGCAGAGGAGAAGCCCTTTGTATGTGCCCAGTGTGGCAAAACCTTCAATAACACCTCCAACCTGAGAACACACCAGCGGATCCATACTGGCGAGAAGCCGTACAAGTGTTCTGAATGTGGCAAGAGCTTCTCAAGAAGCTCCAACCGCATCCGGCATGAGCGGATCCACCTGGAAGAGAAGCACTACAAGTGTCCCAAGTGTCAGGAGAGCTTTCGGCGGCGCTCAGACCTCACCACGCACCAGCAAGATCACCTGGGCAAGCGGCCGTACCGCTGTGACATCTGTGGCAAGAGCTTCACCCAGAGTGCCACATTGGCTGTACATCACCGGACCCACCTGGAGCCAGCACCCTACATTTGCTGTGAGTGTGGAAAGAGCTTCAGTAACAGCTCCAGCTTTGGTGTGCACCACCGCACTCACACAGGTGAGAGGCCTTATGAGTGCGCCGAGTGTGGGCGGACCTTCAGTGATATCTCCAACTTTGGAGCACACCAAAGGACCCACAGAGGGGAGAAGCCCTACCGGTGCACTCTGTGTGGGAAACACTTCTCCCGGAGCTCAAATCTCATCCGCCACCAGAAAACACACTTGGGTGAGCAGACTGGAAAAGATTCCAGCTGAAGGAAAGCCCCATGTAGAGAGTGAGGGGGAGAGAGCAAGAGACCCCAATGTAGTAGAGGAAGAAGATCTTTGAATCTGCTGCTGCCACCTTGATCTCAAGCTCTTCCATCCCACTTTGGAGAATGGTTTCCTGTTGCCTCTGAAGCCAGGATCTCCAGGAATTCCTAAGAAAGGACTCTGAGTAAAAATCGTTGCCTCTTTCCAGGCCAATTTCTTGCCTTGGAAAATCAGAGGACCCAGTTTTGGCTTCACCTCCTTGGGGTGAAAGAGAAATAAGGTAGGCTTAGAACATGTTGATGTTGTTAGGGCCGCAGTGCCCTGGCCTTTGAAGAAGTGAGATGGGTGTCACTGTCTAAAGTCCTCCAAATTGTCTATGAACTGCTTAGGGCACACTGCAGTGGCCAGTTAGTTCCCATCTGCTATGCCCCAACTTTGCTTCTAGATCTCTGGGCTGGGAGGAAGTTGCCTTCCCAGTGGAAGGGGTCTCCTTGGTCTGGAGAAGAGATCTGAGGTCCTGCCTTAGGAATGAAAGGGAAGCCTTCAGGGAGTCATGATCCAGGGACCTTCGCACTCCCCTGTATTTGTTACTTGTTTTCCCACCCCCAACCTGCCTCTGTTTCCCCCAGAGCGATTAGCAGTAAAACCCTTCTATGAAAAGGACCTGTGTACTTATTTGGGGAAGAGGGGAGCTGGGGAGATTATCCCACTGCAGCCCACTGAAAGAGAGTTGAATTCCAAGAAAGACAGATGGGTGGGTGGCTACTCTGAAAAGCAAAGGGAAGCAGGCTGAGTCTCTGGGACCTTTGAGGAAAAGGGGGAAAAGAAAGGAACTATCATTAATTGAGCATGCACTCCATGCTATCGATTCCACCAGTCACATTTACATTCTTTATCTCATTTAGTTGTCACAGCAACCCTTAAGAGAATACAATGAGGAAACAGAAGTGAGGAAAGGTGAAGTCACTTGCTCTGAATCACACAGCAGGTATAGGGTAGAGCCAGAGCTCATACGTGGGCCTCCCTGACTCCCAGCCAGTGCTCTTTTTCACTGTATTCACCTCGTTGGCTTCTGAAGGAGCAGCCACTTAGGAGGCTGGCCTGGAGGTGGGAGTCAGTGTGTCCTCTTGATATGATCTTGGACCATTCACTCTATGGGAAGTCAGTACCAAGCATGAGGACCTTTTGAACTTTGTTAATTGAACACTTACTCTGTGCCTGGGAAAAATGGCAGTGGCAAGGAGTAGGCAGTGAAGGGTGAGATAAAATGAGAGAAATCTTGAGACCCATAATGAGAGTCTTCACCTTTAGTAGCAATAGTTTAGTCCCCAAGGCTGGGACAGCTTGGCCAGATCATGCCTGGCTTCCTGTCCTGGTTTAGGGCTGGCTCCACATGGCAGATTTCAATGTTTTCTACACGGAAGTTTAATGTTTACCCAGTTTTCCTCTAACAAATACATAAGACCCCTTTCTACCTCTATTGGCCATCTGGGGCCCTCCTCTTCCAGGGTAAGGGGCCCTTTTCATTTGCAGCCAGTTGGCAGAATGTGATTCTGGCACCAGGCTTGGAACCGACACCACCCATGACCTTACCTAACATACGGGTATCCTTCTGCTGTCCAGGAAGGTATGTGCTAGGAACTTTACACTCATCATCCTACTGAATTCCCGCAACAATCCTGTGAAGTAAGAATTATCTACATTTGCCATATGTAGAAACAGCCTGGCAGAGAGAAAGTGACTTGGCCTAAGATTACAGAGCAAGTAAATGGCAGGGTCAGGAAATGAACTTACTTCTGCTCAAATCTAAAGCCTGTATTTTATACAATACATTTGTAGGGCACTTTACAAAGCACTTTTATTTCATACACATTTTCCTGTTCCTTGAAAATCCCCCTACAGAATATTTTAAACATAGTCACCCAAACTTACATGTATGAATTGGTACATACCCTAATAATGAAAGTCCCCATCTTTCAAATACCTACTGAATGCCAGTTATTGTACACTGTTATCTCCTATCTCCATACTATCTTGGAAGGTAGTAGGGTTCCCATTTTCAAAGTAAGAAAATTCTGTGAGGTTAAATGACCTGACTTATTGGCAGAGCTGGGATTTAGATTAGGTATATCTGATCCCAAGGCCAAGCTCTTCATTATACCCACTACCAAGCTAGGTCTACTGGTCCCCTCTCAGTCCGAGAAGCTTGGTAAGACTATCCTTCCAGACCTGGAGCCTTAGCGATAATTGCTGTGACTTTATGGGAGTCTCTGCTGCCAAACAGGCCCAGGACCAATGTACCAGGCACCTGCTCTGATCTTGGGACATGATCCCCAGCTAATCTAATTTGCCCCTTTTTGACCCTAATTCCTAGGCTAGGGTTTCTGTTTTGGTTCATGCTTTTGAGTCATGACTAGTTAATTTATTTACTCTCTGACTTCCTTTTTAGAATTCCTTTATTTGCTCCTTCATTCCCTTTTTTCCTTCCCTCCCTTTCTTCCCCCTTTTTCAGACCTTTTTCCCTTCTCTTCCCTTCCTCTCCCTCTCTTCCTCCCTTTCTTCCTTGCCTAGTAACTAGGAATACTGATTTTGAAGACAGCGTGGCCCCTGTGTTCTCCAGCATAGGCGATTGACACATAAACCCAGTTACAGTGCAGGACAATAGATGTCTTTACAGTTGTACCCAGGGTTCTGTAGAAGCCAGGTGGGGGTGGGGGCTTAAACTGGCCTGTATTGGACACTGGAGCCCAGAAGTGAATGAGAAGTAGTCCTTCCTGCAAGGAATGCAGAGGAAGAGAAACTCATCTGGACAGATTGCTGGGGGAACACAGGTGGGAATGGCCAACTCTTCAGAGGAGAGGGGAGGCTGAAGGATGATTGAATTTGGTCTGAATGAGTTGGTGTTTACTAGACAAAGAAAAGGGGAAGGTTATTTCAGATGAAAGGGAAGCTTAGTGTGCTGGGAAGCAGTGAAATGTTTGATATAGAGTGCCCTGTGTGAGGAGCAGAGGATGGTAAGGTACACAGGGGTCAGATTGTGAAGGGTGCTGGATGCCAGGCTAAGAAATTTTGGACTGTGGACAATAGGGAATTTTAGAGCAGTGGAATGACATGATCACATTCACCCTTTAGGAAAAACACTTAGGCTAGTGTGGAGCATGAACTTGGGAAGTAATTTGGGAAGATGTTGTATGTTTAAGCGTCAAGTGTCAGTTGGAAACCTCCTGATCCATGGAGAGCTCTGTGTGATTGCCGCAGAGCCTTGCTAGTTCCACAGAATGGGAAAGTCCAAACTCTCCACACAATTTCTGCAGATTCCTGGGATTTATGACCTCATGGTCTCCTCTTGCCTAAGGTTCCTATGATCTGTACAGCCCGTCTCTGTTTTGTCTCCTTTATCCCTGTGGCAGAACTCAGCTCCTTCATCAGCATCCCCAAGAAATTCTGTCACATGAAGCATTTTGTAAGTTTAGAATTCCTTCTAGAGATTGGGTGCTTCAGGAAGGAGTTACATCAAGGCTTGTCACTAGCTTCCCATCCTCTCCCATTTCTGCCCTTCTCCCCTCCCTTCTGGAGTGCCATAACAAGACTATGATGCATCTTCCTACAGATAGTGACTTATTATCACCACAGATCATCTTCTACACATTTTAACATCTCTAACGTTAAAATGTGTCTTAAAATTGATGATGTTTTAGATTAAATGAAATACCACATTATAAGAAAGAGAGATGAGGTGGTGATGTCAGCAAGATGGCGGAATATGAAGTCTCAGCCCCTATTTCTCCACAGAGACACTTAACAACAATATACATTTCTGGCAGTAGCACTGGGGTTAAAAAAGAAAAAACAAACAAGCAAGCAAAAAAAAAAAATATATATATATATATACAGACCAAAATACCATTCTAAGAACTCTAGAAACCAACTAAGAAGTTTTATTATAGTACCCCAGGCAAGTGTGAGGCCAAGAAGAGCTACATTGAAATGGATAAGGAGCCATTTTACTTTCTCCACGATCGCCCCTTCCCCAAACCAGCACAGCTCAGCTCAGGTCACAGATTCCCCCTTGGGGAGAAAATGAGAAGAGTGGAACATGCATCCAATGTTCTGCATTTTCAGAAGGCTACTAAAGGACTGGTTCCTCTCTTGCCTAACTTGGAATGCTAATGGAACTAGAATACTTTGGGTGCCTGGGGGCCACAAAGCAAGGAAGAATGGGAGGTCTGGGGGTGGGAGTTGCAGTTTGCTGAGGCACTAGAGGGCCTGCAGTGCCATAGACAGAGGCCAGCACACTCAGCACAATTGGGAGAAGGCTCCCAACTTATGGGTCCTCCTTTGGGAGGGAGAGAGAAGAGTAGAGCATATATCTAGTATTTGGCCTTTTTGGAGAGCTGTTCAAGGGACTGGTATTTGTTGCCTAATTCTGGGTGCTAATGGGGAGCGAACATAATTTGAATGTCTGGGGGCCACTGAACACAAAGGAGAACAGGGAGACTTGCTGCAGTAGTACCAGAGAACCTGCAGTACCTCAGACAGACACTAGAGAGAATAAGAGATTATGAGCTCCTGAAGAAGAAACTAGCAAACCTCTCTAATTGGAAAATTACAAGCACAAACCCAGAGAAGTAACATCCCACCCCCACCACCCCTCAACCAAAAGGATTCAGAGGCCTCCAGAATCCAGCTGGGCTGCTGATTGAAGGTCTTCCCCTGTATGAAGCCAATCTGTTCAAAATCAGAAAAGTGATACATGAATAAAATGAAATGTCAACAGAGATGGAAACAAACACAAAACCAAACAAATTGTGAAACTGAAGAATAATACAATAACTGAATTTAAAAATTCACTAGAGGATACACAAAGAGTGCAATGCGCACCATCCGAGGAATGGACACGCTTGAAACTTGGACTTGGTGGGGAGGCGAGGGGCAAGGGCAATATACATAACCTAAACATCTGTACCCCCATAATATGCTGAAATAAAAAATAAAAAATAAAAAAGATTCACTAGAGGAGTTCGACATCAGGCATAATCAAGTAGAAAAAAGAATCAGACAACTTTAAGTCAGGTCATCTGAAATTACTGAGAGGAACAAAAAGAAAACAGAATGAAGAAAAGTGAAGAAAGTCCTAAGGGACTTATGGAACACCATCAAGTGGAGTTCCAGAAGGATAACAGAGAGAGAAATGGACTGAGAGCTTATTTGAAGAAATAATAACCCAAAATTTCCAAAATCAGAGAAAGGAAATGGATATCCAAATCCAAATAAGATGAACCAAAGAAGCCTACACTGAGAAACACGTTACAATCAAACTGTCCGCTAAGATAAAGCAAAAATCTTGAAACCGGCAAGAAAAAAGACAATCATCACATATAAGGGAGCATGATAAAATTATCAGGGAGTTTCTCAGCAGAAACCTTAAATACCACAGGGGAGTGTGATGATATTCAAAGTGCTGAAAGGAAAAAAAAAAACCAAAAAAACCTAGGAAACAAGAATACTATATGTAGCAAAACTGTCCTTCAAAAGTAAAGGAGAAATATTTTTCAAGATAAGTAAAAGCTGAGGGAATTCATCACCAGCACACTTGCTTTATAAGAAATGCTAAAGGGAGCACTCTGGGAGGCTGAGGTGGGAGGATTGCTTGAGGTCAG